AAAAAAAAAAAAAAAAAAAAATACAAAATTTCATGTACAACTTACTAAAAAATATTCCTATGGAAAGAAAGAAAATAAGTGAGAAAGTGGTGGTAGGGTTATACTTGATTGGTCTCTTTTCAACACCTTCTATAATTTCAAAACTAATTTTTTCAGATTTTTTCCAAATTTTTCACCTTTAGGGTTTTCCTACTTTTGTTAGTATTTGAGAAGCAAAACGAAGTGAAAGATGCCTGCTTGTCAATGCAATGAAGATAACTAACTGCCCAGCATGAAGTGCAGACATTTATCAGGACAGAGCCACTTACCTGCACCTCCTGCTGTAGGAGGAGGAAGAGGGGGAGGGGCTGCCTGGCACAGGGAGGTGCTTTTGAAAGGCTGCAGCAGCTTCTCTAGGGCCTGCGCACTGTCTTCAGGCAGCACCTTCGTCTTGGGGCTGCCAAAGAGGTCCCTGATGTCCTTTCTTTGTCTGGATTCTTGGAGGAAACTCTCAAAAGATTTGTCTTTGAGTCTGAGAGAGGAAAAAAGTGAGATTCTTTTCTTCGGAGGCTTAGAAGCATCTGGGAAGGTCTCTTGCAAACTCACTTTCTCAAGGAGTGTGGGGACATCTTCAATCTTGCTACAGGGTGGGGACCTAAGTGCAGGAAAGATCTTGGATGGCCGATTGGGCAAACTATGGGTGCGGAGGACAGGGTCAGGAGGGCTAAAGGCTGAGGGCCGGTTTCTCCCAGGGGAATGCTGGTCCCTGTCTTTATTGGAATTGGTTTTCCGAAGGCTGGATGAGCGAGTGCAGGCCTGTGTGGGTAAAGTTTTGGATTCTTGCTTGGCCCAAGCCTTCTTCCCACCTTCAGAGTTGGAAAGAAGGGGCTCTAGAGACCTTCGGATGGCATTGGCTATGAGCCGCAGTGGGGACTTGGGTGGAGGCACGCTTCGCTCCCCTTGAGCTTGTTCCACGGGGGTCCTCATCTTCTCCTGAGCCCCCCTCTGGGTTGGCAGGGGCTCTCTTGCTGCCCTAGGGAGCAGCAAGGGGCGGACTGGTTTTAGCACACGGCCTCCTCTATCATTCTCAGCACTTTTCTGGGAAAGTCGCTCCCCGGTTTTGAGGTGCACACTCTCAGGGATGGAGTCATTCCAATCCAACAACATGGTCTTCTGCTCCTGAGTGAGGACTAACTTCTTTAGGCCCAACTTCTCCTTTGCCAGCGCTGGTCCTCCCTCTTCTTCCTTCCCAGCTCCAGTACGCCCTTTTTCCCAGTCTTCTCCAGCCAAGGGAGATAGCTCTTGACCTGGCCAGTTCCTGTCCTTCCCCCAGATGGGGTGTGGGTCTCTGTGGTTGCTTCCAATGTCCCCAAGAGGTGCCTCTGCTGGCTGGCACTCATCAGAAGTCATCTCTGCAGGGCCTGAGAGGCCATCTTCACCAGGGCTTACCAGGCAGTACTCTGCCCACTCTGGCTTTGGGTGATGAGGCAGATACAGTGGAATTTCCCTGGGTGCTCCTTGGGCTATGGCTCGCCTTTGAAAGGTTGGGGTGGGAGGACTTGCATGGCCTCTCAAGACCTGTGAGAGGGACTCAGAAGCTGTCATCTAGATGGGATGGGCAAAAATAGCAGTTATTTTAAAAATTTCACCATTTATTTATATGATTAAAGCAAATCTCAATCTACAACCCCCTCCCCTTTTTTCTGACCATCTCAGATGCCCAAATTCAAAAATTATTTTGCCTAAGATGATTTCAAAGGGATACTCTTTGTTCTAAGTAGCTGCCTTGGGTCCTACCAGGATCTGCCCAGAACCCCCAAATCAGCATTGATGAAAGGCTTTTCTGAATCACAGATTACCTGGGTTGAAAGCCAGGGGGAAGGCAAAGGCAGAACCCTGCTGTTGTAAGCTCCTGTGCCCATGAGGGTAGGGCTGGCTGGGCCTCTGTGGGTGCTCAGTCATTGTCTATACTAAAGGGCATGATCTGCCCATAGGTATGTTCCTCTAACAACCAAGAAACCAAGGCTTCTTCTTTGGAGGCCATTAAAGTAAGAAGCGACAGTCACCCTCTGGGCTGAAGCTGTGGTAGCACAAGAATGGCCCTTAAGACCTTCCAATGACCCTTTTTAACCTCCCACCTTGCACCATCGAGAAAGTAGCTATTTCTAGCACGCAGGAACTTGGCCCTTGGCAAAGAGGGAACATGAGTGGACTCTAGGGGTGGCTGTGTCCTCTCAAGAGCTCTGGTGCCTGAAGGGCAGGTAATAGCACAGGGGTTTCACCAGAGCACCCATCTTTTCTGTCTTGTGCACTCTACTTTCCAGAGTCTAGAACAGGCCTGGCAGGTAACAGAGGCTTGATAAATACATACAGAAGGAAAGAGTCCAGCCTGCATATCAATGATAATATTTTATATTCAAGGAAGATGTTGCTTCCAAGGTTCTTGGATGCTACCAAAGGAACCCTCACTTCCGTGCCTTCCATCCTACAGCTGCAAATTCCTCAATGCCCTTTGCAAGTTCTCAAGGGAAAGGTGTCCTAGCAGCTCTGTATCTCATGGAGACCTGGCATGGAGTCTAAGCCCTGTAAAGTTTGCTGAGGGAATGACTGTGTCCTCAGGGATGGCTGTGAAGGAGCAGCAGGAGATTTTGTGAAAGGTATACATGAAGGTGGCTGGGGTAGAACCTTGAGAGAGTATCTTCTGGCCCTGGCTTTGCACTTAGGTTGACCTACGAGCACATGGAATCCAGAGATAAGTGTGGAAGGTGGGAAGAGTACAGGTAGCTCAGCTTCCTGACACCTGGGCAGGACCCTCAAGGACACTCACCTGAGGTGGGGAAGAACCATCTGGAGCATGCTCAGAAACACTGGCTGAAGAAGAAGATGGTGGGGAAGATGAACGAGAAGACAATGAAGGAAGAGGAAGAGAAGGAGAAGGGTCCTTTGGAGGTGACATAGTTCTTTTGTTCACTGGCGTCAAACCTACCAAGGAAAGAACACACTCTTCATTACAAAGGTGTTATTATTTTATCAAGAAAAGAGGAGGCTTTAAGTGAAGCTCCAATTCTATAAACCATCAGAAAGAAGAAGATGTCAGAGCCTGACTCAGAGGTTCCTGGTGCCCGAGGTGTGGGACTCAGAGGAATGGGTATAGCAGTATCAGGGTCCCGTGGGGCAAAGGAAGTCCCAGGGTGAGAAGTCTAAGAACCATTATGTTTCAGACTCATGCGAGGATGCTCTTGAGAGATGCATCAGGGCATTTCCAGAACATTTCTTAGAAATGTACATCTGCCTCCAAAGAGCATCCTAAACCCATTGTGGTTGGGAGCTGGGCTGTGTTAAATCACTCAGTCAATAAACCACCTGAGCTTTCTTCCCACAAGATGCTGGACCCTTAGCCATGGGCCCAGAAAGGTTAGACATCCACGACAAATGAGATGGGCTCTTTCTTCTCACATGTGTGCCAAGAGGCTCTCAGACAGGAGGAGTCATTTGAGATTTTAAGAGAATACAAGAGAGGGAGGTTACAGTGAGTATCAAATCATTTGAAGGATATGGAGTGGGCCCATGCCAAGCTCCTGTTGGTCAGGGAACAAACAGGATACAGTGTGGCTACTCAGAGATGGAGGTGAAAGGAGTGGGGCAGGGCCCTGAGGACAGGCCTGGTTCTGTGCTGTGGGGGGCTGAGATCATCTAGTCTGCTGACAGTCGTAGCCTACTGCAAGATCAACCAAGCTCACATATGTGTACTCTCTTCCTCTCCCCCTCCCCTCCTTCTTACTCTCTTCCCTTGCTTCCCTCAAGCATGGTAACCTTAAATCTAAAATCTCAAACATTTTGTCTCCATATTGGGTCATTTGAGATCACTTGCTCAAACTGATTCAGTAAAATGCCATGTACCCTCTCAGATCTGCCCTCTCAGTACCTACCCTCAGCCCAACCAGCTCTCCCATGAACTGTGGTGGCATATAGGGATGTCCCTCAGAAACTTCCCAGGACCGCCACATGGAACGAGTCCGCTCTCTTGTCCATCTCCCTGCTTCTGGCCGCTCAGCTGACTCATTCAGATTTTCCTCCAGGGTGTCTAGCCTTCAGATTTTCACCCGCTTCTTAGTGCAACACAATCCCCTGGTCTCAGTTTCCCCAAAGCTCCGAGGGATAAGCTCCTCCTCAGGGACCCACGCAGGCCAAGTCTCATCCCAAGGAGAGTTCCACTGAGTCCCCTCCACCCCTGGGGCCCCACACTGTTCTCGATATTCTCCCCTGCTTTCCCCCGTACATCAATGCGAACATGTGTGACTGCACATCCCAGGCGTGGGCTCTGAACAGATGGCACCACATGCACACGGTCAGCAAGCTCCCAGAGGGAGGTCTCGCAGAAAACTTTGGAGGGAAAAGGTAATTCTGGAAACAGATCTGATCTGAGGGTGGCAGGAAGGAGCTGCCAGGGAGGCGGCTGGCCTGCCTCCCGCTACTGCACCCCCATCGCAGCCCACGATTAGAAGGTTCAAGCCTAAAAAGGCAAAAGTTGTGAGTCAGTCCTTGCCTTGCTTCCCGTCCTTGTCCTCAGCTTGCCAAATTCCTGCCAAATTCCTTCCTTCCTTCCTCCTTGCACCCTCATTCTCCCTCTCTGCCATCTTCTGAATCAAACTCCTTCACTTGCCTCAATTCCTCTCAGCTCAACAGACTGCCTTTTTGTTCCCCTGAGGATCCCTCAGGGACTTCCTGACAGGAAGCCAGGGCCACCTCAGGAACCAAGCCTGACAGAAACGCCTCAGGGCTCACGAGGTCATGACCCAGAAGCTGCTCCCTTCTTCTCCTTTCTCTAATCCCCACTCCCACCGCTGCTAGGGGGTCTCCTTCTCTCCACACGCGGTCCTCATGCACTGCCTTCAAGATGGAACTCCAGCAAGGCTTGAGGAGATGAGGGAATCAAAGCCCCAGCTCAGGCCGCGCCCCTTGTCCCTGGGCTGCCCTTCAAGCCACTGCTTGGGAGGTGGGCACAGCCTGGGGAGAGAGGTGATGGGAAACCTCCCCTTCCTGATGCCCACTGTGTCTTTGGGTCCTCTCAGAAGATGGTGAAGGGGAGCCTGGAAGTCCACCCCTTCACATGCACACCAGCTGCCCGGCTCTGAGCAAGTTACTTAATCCCTCAGTCTCCTCATCCAAAAAATGGGCTGTCTGGTGCAGTTTCATGGAGTGGTTGAGCAGATAACATGGGCTAAAAAGAGATGCCCAGTTGGCCGGGTGTGTTGCCTCACACCTGTAATCACAGCACATTTGGAGGCTGAGGTGGGTGGATCACTTAGCTCAGGAGTTCAAGACTAGTCCGGCCAACATGGCGAAACCCTGTCTTTACCAAAAATACAAAAATTAGCCAGGCATGGTGGTGTGCGCCTGTGGTCCCAGCTACTGGAGAAGCTGAGGTGGGAGGATCACTCGAACCTGGGGGATGGAGATTGCAGCGAACCGAGATCACGCCACTGCACTCGTCTGGGTGACAGAGTGAGACCTCATCTCAAAAAAAAAATAAAAATAAAAATAAAAATAAAAATAAAAAGGTGCCCAGTGGCGCAGGACACAAAGTAAAAGCTAGTTGTTGGCAAAATATGAACTCCATTAGTTTTCCACCCTCTCACACACTTAAGCCGCATCCAGGTGAAGACATTTGCTGAAGCACATTGCTGAAGCTCTGGCCCATTCCAGAGGGGGCTGCACACTCTATACAGCCACGATTTCTCCAACTTTTGGGCCAAGAGCTCCTCATTGGCCAACTCACATCCCCCATTGCTGGCCGTTTCCTTGAAACCTTGGTACGGCCCACCCGGGGCTGCCCTGTCCTCTGCCTGGGTCTCAGTCACACGTGCCCCTGGCACCTTAGGGTTGCTTTGTGTGAAGGATACTGATGCGCGCACCAGGGCCTGAGTTTCAGCATCCAGGCTGCCTCTGGGTCAGGCGCTTGCGCTACCTCCTCTCTGGGCCCTCTAGCAGCAGCAACCTTTCCTGTAGATCCTAGAGGTCATCTGGCAGCATGAGCAGCTGGGGAGGGTGCCCAGGGCAGCCACATAGCCCCTCCAGCCCTCCCACCTGGGGCTTGGGGCCAGAACCAGCTGTGATGGGGCAGTAATGCCTCTGGACAGGAGGGATGGTACCACACATTCTGCTTCCAATGGCAAGGCCAGCCCTGCTCCCTGGGATTTTCTTTTAGGCAAAATAAAGACAAAAAAAAGATGGCTGTCGTGGCTTTCGGCTCTCGGGATTTTTGTGAGACTGGGACTTCAGGGTGCAGCTTCCTAGAACTTGGAGGTTTGGCAAGGTTCAAATCCCTCTCGAAGTCTTGGAGCGCCCTCTAGGGGCGGTAGCCTGAGCAGGTCTGAATCCATGTGCTCCCTTTGTGCTCAGTTCAGCTCGCTTGCTCCTTGGTGCCTTACTTCATTCATTGATTCAGCAAACAAGGATTGGGTTCCTCCTCTGGGTCAGACCGTGGTAAACACTAGGCTGATTGAAATGATCAAAACTCAAGCCCTACCCTCAAAGCAGCTTTCGTATACTCTTGAGAAACACTGTACAATACTCTTTGATAACTAAAGGCTGAGTTTCCCAGGCCCATTCCAGACATCATGGGGCTATTCAGCAGTCCTCTTGTTCCTGCACCTCCCCCAGCGACCCAGCCCTACTGGGAGGGTCTACCACCAGCCTCCCTGCTCTCACTCCAGGCTGAGAGCTTCCTGAGGACGGACTGAGTCCCCACACTGGCGGCACACAGTAGAGTGGGCTGGAAGCCTTGGGATGGACCCTGCACCCATGCATCCGGGGCCCGGGCAGCAGGCTTCCAGGGACTTGGGGAGGGCCAGAGCAGGGCAGTAAAGGCGATGACCCATGTGTGACAACGCTAGCTCCTCCACCCTCTGCTGTCACCGCTGGGGGCTGTCAGAGGATTCAGGAGTCACTCTAGGCTGTCCCCAGATGAAGTGGCCTGCCCAAGAGTGCAGCCCTGGGTCCTGCTTCTGAGGTGCCCCTGTCCCAGCCTGACCCGGTGCGAGGGTGGTGGGTCTGTGGATGGCGGGGGAATGACTCACTGGCTGGGAGCCTTGACTCAGAAGGAAGGAAGACCAGGGCTCAGTTCCAACTGCAACATTTCTTGGTAGAAACCCCTGTCTAAGCCAAGGCCTTTCTGGGTCCTCCTCTCCTAGGGTGAGGCCAGAGAGGGAGTGGGTGTAGGGGGAGGTGGAAGGCAGCGATGAGCCTGGAACTGGATGAAGAGTCTCTGCCCCTTGCTCCAGGGCCAGGGGAGGGAACTCTGCGCAGTAAGTGCTGCAGCCCCTGGATCCCAGGCCTGCCTAGACGCTGTGAGTCTGTGTGTGGTCACTGCACCGCCTGGCAGGGCCTGCTGCCTCAGCACCTGCCACAGCCCTGCTCTTCCCCAGGACACTGGGACCAAGTCTGACTCTGAAAAAGGAGCAGGGGTGTGTGTGTGTGTGTGTGTGTGTGTGTAGGGGGGTGTGTGTGTGTGTAGGGGTGTGTGTGTGTGTGCATGTGTGTGTGTGTGTGTAGGGATGTGTGTGTGGATGCATGGGTGTCTGTTTGTAGCATCCTGCTTTGCATGAGGTCATTAATCTGATGCCCCAGTCTCACTCCAGTGTACAGAATCAAATCATAGAGTTCCTTCGGTTTACTCGTCTGTATTTCAAAAGCTTAGAGGTAATGATGGCTAAGGCCCTGTCTGGGTGAAACTGTAGAATCCTAAGGCTCCATAATTCCTGAGCCAGGGGTGAAGGGGAATGGGAAGATCTTGAGTCCCTTGGAAAAGGCTCCCTCTAGTCAGCAGTGGAAATAAAGTCAACCTGATATTTTATTTCTTGCCTCTGACAACTAGGAGGCCGCGCCAGAGAGATACCATGTAAGGAATGAGAACAGCTGCCCCTGAGAATTAACCAGAGATCTTCTGCCCAGTCCCAGCCTCCCACTCCCAGAGAGCTAGTGACTCACTCCACCGGAATTCTCTCCTCCAGTTCTGGTATTTGCTTGGGGTTGGAGACTGGAAGCTATTGGCCCGTTGCAGAGCTGCTGTGGAAAAAGAAAGGGACAGGGAAGATGGGGTGGGAGGAAGAGTCCATTTAATGTGTACAGTAAGTAGGAATTTATCTCCTATAGCTCATTTACCACAAGTTAATAGACTAATGATTATAATAGATTGAACCCTCTCCTTCCCTCACACCATACTCCTGTCCCCACAACATACACTACCAAACTTTTCATTTGTTCACGCATCGAATATTTTTGTGTGTTTTTTTTTTTTGTCACCCAGGCTGGAGTGCAGTGGTGGGGTCATGGCTCACTGCAGCCTCCACCTCTTGGGCTCAGTGATCCTCCCACCTCAGCCTCCTGAGTAGCTGGGACTATAGGCACGCACCACCACATGCAGATAATTTTTTAATTTTAATTTTTTATTTTTTATAGAGATAGGGTCCCACTGTGTTGCCCAGGTTGGTCTCAAACTCCTGGGCTCAAGTGATCCCCCCACCTCGGCCCCCAAAGTGCTGGGGTTACAGGCATGAGCCACCACACCTGGCATCAAATATTTATTGAGACCCTGCTATGGGACAGGTACCACCCTCAGAGAATGCCTCAAATTGTGAACTATCATTACTAAGATCATCAGTAAGCATCCATATGCATATATGCATATGTGTTGATATATTTATACATGCATGTGTATATACATACATGCACATATTCATTCATGTCAGAACAGTTATTTAAAGCTGAGGTCATCATGGAACATCAATGTTCCATATATGTAATACATTAAAAAGTGGAGCTGCTCTAACCGAAGCCAGGAAGCTGCAGGAAGTTCTATTCTCTGCCTCCCCTCTCCCGACAAAGCCCCCCCAAACCCTTTGGAAACTAGGTTTAACTGAGACTGTGGACCATCATTGCTGTGGCCCTCCCTTGGCCTGGTTCCAAGGGAAACATATTTGCGGGACACTGTACTTCCTATGGAAGACCCCTCTGCCAGCTGGGCCTTGAGGATTAGCTGAGCAAAATGAACATCACATGCAGAAGAAAAACAGGTCTTTGTCACTTAGGGTGTGAGAGTGGGCAGTGGGGTCCACATGTTCCATATTCCCACACAAGGCCTGCAGATGCATTCTCAGGCTTCAGGCCTCTGCACCTCCATCACTGCCGGAGAGAAAGGATGGGGATGGTGAACATCTGAATGTGCACACAGGCAGGGCCAGGAAGCATGAACAGAAAGGAAGCCCAAGGGCATGATGTGGGTATGGGAGATGGAGGCAGAGAGGGTCTGAATCCAGGACTCTAAATCCAAGGCCCAGCTGGCCCAGCCCTCTGTCTTTCTTTCTGTCTAGAAACAGTCCTAGATATTCCGCTCCCTGCCAGGTCTCACAGTGGAACTCTTTCTTAGCAGCCAGGCTGTGGAGCATAAGTGTCAACCACCACCTGGGGGTTTTCCTTCCTCAACCCCAGCTCCTTCAACTCCTCTCTCCCCCTTACTCCATTTGTGAAAATGCCCTTTGCAAAAATTACAACTGAGAAAATTATGACAGTGACAGAGATCTGACCTAACCAATCCATCTTGCTTCTAACCTCCACCCTTTGTTCATTCCTGGGCGTAGGCTGAACTAATTTTGGGAGGAACTTAGTTTATAGTCTAGTTTTGAAACAAAGATGATAACAGCACTTTCCCCAAACAAACCCCCTTCCTGCCTGGGGACTAGACTGCCTTTGCAGGACTAACAAATTTGCCACAAGATTAGAAATTGTGGTTTAGGAGTCATGCAGCTGGAGGCTGCAAGATTCTGAATCTTCCCAAATTGCATCCTGGGGCTAACATCACTATTGTAAAGCCTAAGGTCAGTGCTTGGGATATTTTGCAGACCCTGCACTCAGAGGATGAGCTGGTACCACCCAGATTGATAAACTGGCTCATCTGGACTTTTAGCCCCCACTCAGGAACTGACTCAGTGCAAGAAGATAGCTTCCACTCCCTATGAGTTCATCTCTGACCTGACCAATGAGCCCTCCCCATTTTCCAAACCCCTACTCAGCAAATTATCTTTAAAAACCCTGATCCCCAAGTTTTCAGGGAGATTGATTTAAGTAATAATAAAACTCTGGTCTCCTGTACTCTCCAGCTCTGTGTAAATTAAACTCTTTTTCTATTGCAATTCCCCTGTCTTGATAAATCAGCTCAGTCTAGGCAGCAGGCAAGGAGAACCCATTGGGTGGTTACATTTGGAGGCGCTTCATGCCTGCTCTATCTGGCAGGTTCCCAATCCCACAGGCCTACTCTCAAAATCCAGTCGATGGGGTTGAGGAGGAGCCTGTGTGGATGAGCACACAGCTCCCCATGAGGAGATGGATAGCTCACCCTCCCAAGTGCTGGCTGGCTGGGCTTTCCAGGCATAAGGAGCAAGCAGGTCTTAAGCACAGCTACATCCTGCTGGCCAAAGCTGGCCTCTTAATCACTTAATGAAGACATTTCTCAAAAAAAAAAAAAAAAAAAAATGCATAAAGCTCTAATTGCTGCTTCTTAGCTTGTAACTTTGTGGAATGGAACCTATTGGAAATGGCTAAAATTCAAGAGAGATTTTCCGTCACTGGTGTTAATAGAGCACACATGCACACATTTTTACCACAGTGGGAACAATAGGGTGGCTAGTAATGCTGAGCAACATAAAGTGGGCTGATCCCTTCTTCTTAGCTTACATTCTATGTGTGTTTATTTATTTCAAAGGGGCACTTTCAGAGATCTTAGTGCATGACCCACTGTAAAAGGAGTCAGAGGGTATTTTGCCATGTGGTGCTGATGATATCATTTTATTATTACAAACTGATAGGAGTCCTCCATATTCCATTGGACCATCCTGTTATCAAATTATTGCCAGAAAAAAGATGGATAAATACCGATTCCTCTAAGCCAGAATAATTTGGGGCAGGTTGTTCTCCTAAACCTAATTAGTTTATAGCCAAGAGTCCAATGCACTAGATCTATTCATTTAGTTGCTTGGGCGTGGATTTTACAATGAATTCATCTAGGCAGGCCTTCCACAAAGCTGCATTACCAAAATCCCCAAAGTGTAGAACATGGCCCACTGTGTCAAAGCCCCTGGGGATGCTTACACAGAATGTACGTACTTGACCCCACTCCAGACCCACTGAATCTGAATTTCTGATGGTGGGAACCTGGGAATCTGCCTTTTAAACAAGATTGTCAAGAATCACTGACCCCGATGTTTTAGGGGGCTTTCTGCAGCCTCCATGACATAGGGTGTGAGCTGTATTTCAGGCCACCCTCTTGGGCATGCTCTGTGAATTTTGAGGATGTAATAGGTGCCTTCATGTGCCAAGGTAGTCCCAGAAGTCTTTTTAAAAATTGTGGAAAAAATATACGTGATATAAAAATTGTTACTTATACATTTTTAAGTCTAGATTTCAGTGACATTAAGTACACTTGCCCTGCTGTGCAGCCATCACCACCTCACCACCACCCATCTCCAGAACTCTGCTCTCATCCCAAACTGACGTTTGTCCTTTTGTGATTGGCTTACTTCCCTTAGTAGCATGTTTTGAAGGTTCATCTAAGTTGTAGCGCATGTCAGAGTCCCTTCCTTTTAAAGTCTGAATAACATTTTGCTGTATGGATATACTGTGTTTTGTTCATCCATTTGTCTGTTGAACATTTGATTTGCTTTCCCCTTTTGTCTAATGTGAATAATGCTTCTATGAGCATGGCTGGACGAACCTGGAGTCTTTTTTTTTTAAACTCCACACTGCAACCAGGAGTCTTTTCAAAGCAATATCCTGGTCTTGCCTGGCATTCCCTTGGTCTACCTTGGAGGCATTTATCCAGGTGAGAATTGTAGTTAATGAAGCTCCATAAAACCCACACAAGGGGTCAACCCTGCATTATTTGGTAAAGTGATGGGGTTACCATAACCAGCAACACAAAGCACAGCACTTAGAGCTTAACTGTACAATGTGGTTCACCTAGCAATGATCAAACAACAACTGATGAAGACTAACTTGACAAAGAATTGTTTGAGAGTCACACAGTCTACCCACTTATCTACTCTATATTTTATTCTGGAGTTAAACTGGACTGCCAGAAACAAAATGCTTTGATCTCACTACCCAACGCAACCCAACTAGTCTCTCAACCCAACCCCATCCTACTAAGAAAACTGCTATTGCTGGGTCAGGTTTTTCTTTGTTTTTGTTTTTTTGTTTTGTTTTTTTGTTTTTTTTTGGTCATGCCCTCACCTTCCAGCAAGGGATGCTGTAAGAAACAGCCTCAAGAATACTAGGGCTGCATTTTCTGAGGAACTGTTAAGACGTAATCTAACACATTTCTCAATATCATGTATTCAGTACGAGCTGGAAACTGTCAACAGAGTTAAGCATTAGGAGAAGTTGTGCCTGCTCAGAGACCTGCTGCAAACCAATACATGTTTTTCTCATAAACAATGAGAATAATGATGTTCTGTGTTTCCTTTTGAACGCTGGAAGCCAGAAAACTCAGAATCAAACTTATGATTCAACTAGAGCAACTGTCTAGGATTATGGTCTGCCTCTCTGGGGTATATCCTTCCTAAACTGGCTTTGTTAGACCTGATTTTGAGGCTTGATCTTTCACCTTTATAGTTGTACAATTTTGTTTTATGTTTTTCTTATAAGTTGCCTAAAACCCTCTGGCAATTGGAGGGGAAATGGAGGGAAGGGATGAAAGGCAGGCCGACTTCGTATCTGGAAATGGGGAGCTGGAGCCCAGGAGGATGGAAGGGTACACCAAGGCCACGCAGTAACCAGAGGTGGGGCTGGACCCAGCTGGGCACAGGAGAGAACTCGGTTCAGTGCCAGTGCTGAGCCTCTCTGCACAGCCCCACAAATGGTACTTAACAAATGTGTTTGGATGATAATCTGTCCTTTTTTAAAAGTGTCACTTTTTTAAAAATGAGGGTAAATTAAACATTTCTAGAGTAAATTCAACATTTCCAGGATTTTAAATTATCTATATGAGTTCTTTCTGCCCCAGCCCTCGTTTTCCTGGGAACATTTCACGGACCAGGTGGCAATTCTGCTCCTGACCACCAGGTGGCGGTGCAGGACAAGTTGAGCTCCTGCTCTCCCAGGCCAAGGCTGTGGGGCCACTGGGCAGGAAGTTTCTGTCAGGTTAGCCTGTTTCTTCCCAGGCTCGTCCAGAAGTTGCCCATAAATCAGACGATTTGGTCCCAAGTTGTTGACTGAATCAAAACACTCAATTCCAGGTCAACTTTGTATTAAACACAAGCTGGGCTGCTAAAGACAGCTACTTCTAAGTAAGCCAGAGCTTGGGCAGCGGTGGTTGGACGGTGTCACCAGCACGGGCTGAGACTTCGGGAGACCACTCAGCCTGTTTGCTCTCCTGTGAAACAGGCTTTGTACTACTTACCCCACGGGGTCATCCTGGGATGAAATGGGCCACACGTATGGGAAAAGTCCTGGCTTATTACAGGTACGCAGTAAAAGTGCATTCATTATTGTGTAGAAGTTTGGGTGCAACCCACAAGCTCCAAACACCGCTATTGGCCCCGGTGCTGTGCAGGTGGTCCCAGGGAGATGATGCCGTCCAGGGTCGCATGTTGTTCAACAGCAGCCCGGCCCAGCTCCCTTCCCTCAGGGGCTATGGGATGCCAGAGGGGCCCCTAAGGAGGTGCCCACACAGGAGGCAGGAGAGAAATCACTCCAGGCAAAAGGGACCTGGGGGCCCCTGATCCCTGCCGGCCTGTGACCAACCACAGCCGGCCAGGCCCCGTGACATCTTCCCCACTGGGATTCCAAAGCTTCTCATGGAGAGGGAAACCAGGCCTGGGTCCAGTCCTCTCACTGCCACTTGCGTCCCACTCCCCAGAGGTCCTAGTCCCACTGCCTTGGAGCCTAAGGGCGAGGCCTCCTGTCACCTGGTCCTCCATGAGGGAAATTCAGCTGTGGGGGTCTCTGTTCCCTCCCCGCATCCCAGAATCAAGCCCGGTGGGCTCTCTGCTTACCATGCACAGTTTTGGGCTCCTCAGGGCACTGTGGAGAGACCGCCCTGCTCAGGGCCTCCCTCAGGGAGGTGCGTGGTAGACACGGGGATTCTGGCCGCCGGGGTTTCTCTTCACAGGGCTCTGTGTGGGAGGCCTCGCCGCCACCATAGTCAGACTCTGTGTCAGAGCTGGAAGGAGGAAGGAGTGGGTGGGCGAGTCGGGGCCCCGGAACCCACGCCCCAACACACCCACACTGTGTCCTGCCCAGCACTCCTCCAGCGCACTTGGAGGGCCTGGGCTTAGTCCTGGGTGCCCACAGCCCAGCTGCAGACTTTGTTGTGGGTTGAATTGTGTTCCTGAAAACTCATATGCTGAAGTCCTAACCCCAAGTACCTTCAGATGTGACTGCATCTAGAGATAAGGCCTTTAAGGAGGTCCTTAAGGTAAAATGTGGCTATTACGCTGGGCCCTTGTCCCATACACCTGACATCTTTCTAAGAAAAGGAAATGTGGACACACACATGCACAGAAGGAAAGCACTATGCAGACAGGAAAAGACGCCATCTACAGGTTAAAGAGGGAGGCCTGGAACAGATCCTTCCCTCCAATCCTCCAGTAGGAACCAAAGCTGCCCACACCTTGATCTCAGACTTCCAGGCTCCCAATCAGTGAGAAAATACATTTCTGTTGTTTAAGCCGCCCAATCTGTGGTGCTTTGTTATGGCAGTCAGAGCAGAACAATACAGGCTTGGCTCAGAGCAGAAGGGGCCCAGCAATGCATGAGGAGCTGTTTGAATAACGCCTGCTCTGCTCACTTGCACCTGTCCCGGAGCATGACTCCCAAGGTCTGTCTGGTCAGATAAGCTCATAATTAGGGACTTGGTCCCAAAATTTCAGGCATTTAAATACTGCTCTCTTCCCCATGGAATGGATGAGGGAATGGAAAATTCTACCTGGGTGGGGGTGAGGGGTGAGTAGTATTTAACATGGGCCTTTAATAACTGGTAGGAATTCAAGTGGCAAAGAAGTGGAGGCAGGGTGTCCTAGAGAGAGGGGCAGTCCAAGCACAATGTTCCAGGATGGAAAAGTACAAAACGGGTCAAGCAGTGACGTGTTAGTGAAACTCTATATATGCACACACTCTCTGTACATGGAAATCCAGCAGGGTTCCTTCCACAAGGCCACTGCCACTCATCTACCTGTGTCTATGGCAGACCCCTTAGCCATCAGAGTGCGCAAGCCTGGCCGATCATGGTGCCCCAGTCCTGTTCGCCGACTGTTCCCAGAGGGAAGTATGTGATGTGGGAGTAGCAGTTGGGGGCCTGCCTTGAGATCCTGACCTGAGGACATGAATTTATGGATATGGTCTGAGACCCTCAGTAGCCGAGTTCCATGTGTGGAGACAGCCTCTCTGCCAATGGCTGTAAAAGCAGCAGAGAGGCAGGAAGGGAGAGTGGTTATTTGAGACTCTGGCTCCAGCCTTGCCTGAATGAGGACCACCCTTGGACTTCCCAGTCACATGAGCCAATGCGTTTGCCTTTGTTACTGAAGCTAGTTGGAGTTAGGTTTATGCCTGTTATTATGGAAACAGGCCTGCCTACGTTGAGGCTTAGAAGACTCTGAAGGCTGTGTGATCCAGGGCAGGTCATTTCCCTTCTCTGGGGATCAGAATGAATCACCTGTGGGATGCTCAAGCCTATGTTCCCAAGCCCCATTCCAGAGTCTGCATGGTCAAGACTTGAAGAGCCAGTAGTCTACAACTGCAGTCCCTGCTTTCCTCTCATGTTCCCCCCACACCTACCCCTTTACTCCACTGAGGCCACTTTGTCCAAGTTAACAATGAGCCTCCTGTTGGAAAGTCCAAAGGTCATTTCTCTATACAAATCCTACTGGGCTCTCCAGCAGCCTCTGATGCAGAGAACCAAACCCTCCCTCTTGAGACACTTTCTTCTCTTGGCTTCCACCACCCGCCATCTCCTGGTTCCCAGTGGGTTTTGCTAGCTCCTTCTCCACTTGCCTACTGAATGTTCAAATGCCCCAGAGATCTCTTCTGAGCCCAGCTCTTCTTTGTCTATAGGAAGATATTCTTACTCTGGAAGCAACTCATCAGAGCCCTGGGCTTTAATAGCCTCTAAAATCACCATCTCCAGCCGTGCTTCCCAGAACTTCACACTTACATATTCGACCGCTTACCTGACGTCCACACAGACACCGGCATCTCAAACCCCAACATGTCCAAAACAGAACTCTTGCCTTTCTCCACTAACCTGCACCTTCTCTGAAATCTTCCCCACCTCAAGATAACTTTAGAAATGACCATACCAGCCATTTAGTCACTCTAGAAAAATTCTGGGAGTGACCCTGAAATTCTCTTTCCCTCTTATTCAGTCCATTAGCAAATCCATCTCCACTGCTCCCATCCTGACCCCGAGCTGCAGGCTCCCACCTACTCTTCCTGCCTTCATCCTCACACACCCCTGCCTCATCCATTCCCCAAGGCAAGGCCTGCTGACCTGTGAAAACTGTAAATGAGATGTCACTCCTCTACTGAAAACATCCTTGAATTACAGTCAGGCCTTTCATAATGATGTTTTAGTCAGCGACATAACCCATAACGATGGTGGTCCCATAAAATTATAATGGAGCGGAAAAATTCCTATCAACTATTTACGTCGCAGCCCTTGTTAACATTGTAGGGAAAGGTATCACTCACGTGTTTGCGGTGATGCTGGTTAAAAACCTACAGTGCTGCCAGTCAGTTAAGATGTAAGGAATAAAAAAGCTTATAGAATAAGGGTATAAAGAAAGAAAATATTTTTCCAGCTATTCAATGTGTGTGTGTTTTAAGCTGTGTTACTACAATAGAGTTAAAAAGTTTAGAAAGTAACAAAGTTACAGTAAGCCAATTTATTATTGAAGAAAGAAAAATATTTTTCAGATAAATGTAGGGTAGCCTAAGTGCACAGTGTGATAAAGTCTACAGTAGTGTACAGCGATGTCCTAGGCCTTCACACTCACTCACCACTCACCCACTCACTCACCCAGAGCAAGTTCCAGTCCTATGAGCTCCATTTACAGTAAGTGCCCTATACAGGTGAGCCATTTTTAATATTGTATACTGTATTTTTACTGTACCTTTTCTATGTTTATATATGTTTAGATTCACAAATACTTACCATTGTGTTACAGTTGCTGATAGCAGTCAGTACAGTAACACAGTGTACAGGTTTGTAGTCTGGGAGCAATAGGTTATACCGTATAGCCCAGGTGTGGAGTGAGCTCACCCATCTAGGTTTGTATAAATGCCCTCTATGATGGTCACACAATGACAGAATCACCTGATAACACGTTTCTTAGAACATATCTCGGCTAATTAAGTGATGCATGACTGGATACCTGGAACACAATTTAAACTCCTTACCTTGTCTTATAAGCCTTGCTCCTGCCTGCCTTCCTGGTGTAATCTCTTATTCTTCTCCCACTCAGGGTGTACCTGCCACACCGACCTTCTCTTACCTCTGAGACACGCTCACTCTCACCCAGGGGCCTGTCACTAGCTGTCGTCACTTCCTGCATTCCCCTTCTCCCTTGGCTGTCCCTTCTTGTCAACCAATTCTCAGCTTAAATGTCACCTCCTCAGGGAGGCTGTGGAAATTTGTCTGCAAAGATGGTTGCAATCATTGCCCTTAGATCTATGCCCCCTTGCAATGGGGGCTTTGCAGCTCTTCCCCTAAAGAGAGAAGCCTATTTTCCACCTGTTGAATCTGTTCAGGCCTTGTGACACACTGTAGCCGATCAGATGGAACTGGAAAAGCACTGTGCAGTGTCAAGCCTGGGGCTCGGGAGATCTTGGATGGTTCCCCTCTTTCTCTTAAGGCCACAGAAACAAGGCTGGGCTGCCAGTTGGAGGATGAAAGACCCATGGCCCAATAGCCCTCTGTCACCCCAGCTGACACTCAGACTCCAGAGCAGAACCCTACTGGCCCAAACACACAGGTGAGCCCACCAAGATCAGAACTGCCCAGCTGCACCTGGCTTACTTGGTCAGGCTTGGCTTACTCTGGTCTACTTTTTTACACAGTCATGGTGTAATGGATGGTGGTTGGTTTAAGTCACTTGCTTTGGGGTTGGTTTGTCACTCAGCATTATTGTGGGCATCAATAACTGCTACAGAGGCCTTTTCCTGGCCACCTAATCTAAGGCAGCTGACCAGCCGCTCTCTAGCATATGTGTCTATTTTATTTCTTGACCTGGCACATATGTGATGCTTTTCTTGTTTAACTACTTACTTGCTTCCTAGCTGGCTCCCAATGTGACAAAAGCCATGGGAAAGCAAGGACCTTGTCTTGTGTTGGCCACTGCTATTTCCTCAGAGTCTAGTAAATAATAAGCAACCAATACCTGTTGTTGACTTACCTCTTGAGTGAATTCAGTGAATCTGGAGGAGTCCTGGAGTGTGCATGGCTAATAACCACTCCAGGTGATTCTGATGCAGGTGATGAGGACAGCACTCTGAGAAACAGTCACCTAAGGCACCAGGGCTTCACTGCTCATGTTCCCCACTCTGTATCCTAGCCTGCCCAGCCCCATGCATCATCATCTTGCAGTGGGCAGGCCCTGGGGACAGGTGACACCCATTCTGCACCCCTCACTACAGTCAGCATGACACTGCCTCCTGAGAAGAGCATGGGGCCAGGCCCTTTCCCTTCCTGAGAAAATAACAATTCCTAACACTTACAGTGCTTATGATGTGTGGGCTCTGTTCTATACACTTCCTACAGATGAATTCTGTGAATCTTACAACTCCCTCTGAGATGGGTACCATGATTGTCACCATTTTACAGATGAGGAAATGGAAGCACAGAGAGGCCACACTGCAAGCAAGTAGAGAGAAGACCCAATCCCAAATGCGATTCCCTTCCTCCAACCCTGCTTCTGTCCCCATCCGGCAGCAGCCTGAGCATACCTGCTGTCCTCGCTGGTGACCAGAACACGCACAGCCAGCACATCCTGTCCAGCTGCATCCTCCCCAGGGCTGATCCTCACCGAGGTCCACTCGGAGGGCAAGGGAGAGGCGGCATCCCCTTCCACATCACTGTGTTGTGGCTCAGAGATGCTCTTCGGCCTCTTGGGGGAGGTGGGCTCATCTGCTGAGAGGAGAGCAGGGTCT